TTGAAATGAACTGAATGAGCAGATTTTGAGATTGCTTATAGCCAATTGACATGACTTGCTAGGCTGCAGTTGCCGAAATTGATCAATAATTCGCCTGGTTTAACTTCTGCAACTCAACGAAAATAAAACCATGTTAAGAGACTGCTTAGAACTCGCAAATAACCTGACGAAGAGCGATGTTTTTTGTAAAACCCAATTAATTATACCTATCCCAATGCTTTCCAAAAGCACCTATCGCTTTCCTTTAGCAAATCACATGGTTCCCTTTAATCATCACTGTGAATGATTCACCTAGACAGTATACCAAGCAAACATCTGACATTGTATAATTAGGTAAAATCCCACCAAAACTTCTCATGTCTTTCCAATCTCGTCTCCTTCTTCCCACAAAGCTAAAATTTGAGAGCAAATAAAAGATAGAGACAATGAGCCAACGGTGCTCATTTGCTGGCTATCCGACCATCAATCGCCCGCCGTGTCATTCAAACCGGTCCGTAAAACAATTTGGACAAGATAGCATATGCGCTGCTTTGAACCTTTTTGGCGAGAATGAACGCGAAAAAGATGTTGAAAATGAAATGGATCAATAGTTTAAAAGTGATGGACCTCCTAGCGATAGCCTTACACACACATGACAAATAGATTAAGAGCGTTAAGCACAATCTTTCTTTGAGGTCACGTATAATCTCCTCAGGAATTTTATTAGTTTGTTGATCAAATCCAGTGTGCTCAACCAGTCTTCCATTATAGCGCTTCGGCAAGGGCACATTTGAAATTGCATAGGATTTCGACGAACCTCGGAGATTTTGAAGTTTTAGTGGCTCGTAGAGAGGATATGTCTTAATCGAGTTAACTATTTAAAGAGTTGTCCAAATGGCTTTACTTTGAAGGTTTTCCAGTGAAAGCAAGATTACCAATAAACAACAAATTTCCTGCGATGCAAAGCAATTACGAAGGGATTCTGACAAATAAAAGAGCCAATAGAAGATCGTACAAAGATGTGACAAATGATGGTGGAGACTATACCGAATCCTTTACATGTTGTAGTAAATTTTCATCAAGTCTTTTCATAATCTAAGGACAACTTGATATGGCACACTTTCGTTGTTTCTTTTTAGGCTACATAGCTGCAATGTGACCTGCTGGGAAGCGGAATGAAGTAGAGCATCTCGGTATAGTTTTCATATAAATCTCATACGTTTCTTCTTAGATGATTAGAGAGTTTAAATTAGTATCCGCAAAAAGCCAGAACATCTTTCTGCAATATTTTCCAGAATTCTCGTAGTCTGGTCCAAGATTGGATACGCGGTAATTACTTTAAACCTATAACCATTGTCCAAAACTAGTAATTATCCTCAGTCACTTTTAGTTTTTAAGAAAGGGAACGAAACAAGAAAAACGCCAGGTTTACGAGAGATAGCGCTAAATGACGTAATCCTTTGTGGATTTACACTGAGTTGAGAAAATCCAATTCGAGTGCTCAAATCTATTAATCTTGTTCTCTTTAGTTACTATCTTATCTAAGCACTGTACAAGTGGTTAAAGATAAAGAGTTGGATTTTAGCGACGCTTCAGAAGTGTGACTCGAAACACTTTTAATCTTATTCCGTTCGGCACCTCCATTACTGCAACCAGCAGACCACTTTTATACAGTGACTCAGTTTATGCGACTGCATTAGCAAAAGAAATGTTAGAAATAGCAGAACTCTCCAGTGGGACAACCCAATAATTACAATCCGCACAAATGCGTAAATTGACCCTGAGATTGATTATAGTCAACCTTAAGTTTGATAA